TCAATTTTTATTCCATCAATTCCTGGTGCCTTGTTCTTTGCCAATTCCTTCAATGCACTTTGGACTTCCTCCCTGAGTATGATTGGCTCTTGTTCATATGCTACCTCTTGAAATGACTGAACATTAACCATTTCCTTTTGGTACAATGACTCTGTATATTCCGTCCATCTTTTCTTGATGCATTCTGCATCATTTAATAATTTGCCCAGAGAATCTTTCAATAACGGAAGTCGAGGCTTGATTTTTTTCTTCAGTTCCCCCAGCTTGAGAAATAGATTATGTACTTTATGACAAATATAATACATATATACATATTGCTTATGCTCTTCCATGAGTTGTTTTGGTATTCATCTTGTCCAAACGTTTTGAAACCCAAGTCTGTCATGGATTATTTCATAGACAGAGCCATGACTGATTTACAAATGATTTGCCACATGATCAATTGTCACTCATCTATTTATTCAACAGAATCATTTCACGTCACGTTCAATGTTATCATCAGCTGTGGCCATTGACAGGCATTTTAATATAACGAGTGCAGATAATTTTTGAGTCATGCATAATTTTTTGATATGTGTATAATTTAATGACATATATTATAATAATAATTTTGTGCATTAGCTCCAGTACACAATGCCAAAATTTCCATCACAATGATACTCCATGTGGAGTAACTTTTTTTTTTTTTAAGTTGAAATAGTTAATTGTATTTTTTCGAGGCCTCTGTAATATGAACAGTTACTCTGACACTTTTGTGTATATTTGGATCACTGTATATTTGGGGATACCAGAGAAGGTCCTGAGAAGAAAAAAACCCCAAATACTTAAGTTGTTAAAAGATCTGATAAAAAGAACCTCTGAAAGAAGTTAAGACGAGTGAGTAGCATTTGTTAGGTCTAATCATACAAAATTGCTATTTTTGTAGGTAAAGGAAAAAGGTCTAATATTAGCCATTTTATATAGCTCAATCTAAATAAACTGTGAAGAGAAATCGAGGAATGACTTACTGGCTTCAGGTAACAATGATTCATTAGTCATCTCTACAGAATTCATTTTCCTCATATGAGGAAACAGGCTTAAATAGATTTGAATGAATACATATTGAGACTTCTTGACAATAAGAGTAATTTCAAAAGGATATAAGAGACTTTATGGAATTTTCATTAAGGCCAGCTTTAGATTGCCAGTATGCCAATGCTACTGAGCACTTCAGATATAGTTTTCCCTGGAGAAGTGTTTGAGCCCAGTGACCTTTTTAGGTTCATTCTAGTGTTAGGTTTCCAAATCCACTAATACAACATAAAGGACATCTTCCTTGTCTAACATAGGAAGAATGCCTCAATTCACTAAATTAGACACCCTTGTTTTGACACTCAAATTAAATAAAATGGAAGATAAACTATTTTTAACCCCAAGCATCATGTTTTTTGCGGCTTGTTTGTACTCTTCTAAGCCAGGGAAAACAGATGTGGCTTACATCTCTTCTCAAATGTCCCAGCCCAAGCTCTAGATACCCAGCATTTCCTTTCATGTGAAACTTGACTCCAAAGAGTTCTTTCTTCGTGGTCTTAAAAAATTAAGCACAGTGGAAGAATATATACTAAAATGTTAACAACAATGGTTACCTCTGAGGGATACAATTGTGGGTGATTTCTGATCTTTTTCTTTACTTATCAGTATTTTTCTAAATTTTTTCTTTTCTCTTTTTTATGAGCAGGTATAAGTTATATGATAACTAAGCCCATGAGGGTCTCTGCTGGCATTCCAGAAAAATGAAGAAACCTAACTGAACTGAGGTATTGGTCATAAATATTAGAGTCTAAAAAAAGAGCTAGAGTCACATCTTTTCTTTTTTTTGGTCAGATCAATTGTCATTGTGACACATGACCTGCATTTATAGTGTGGTAAAGGCAGAGGTGTTGGTTTTTCTTTTAACACTAGAACCAGAAGGAGACTTAAGAGGTCATTGACTTCAGGAATTTGCCGGGTGTCTTCATCTCCACCAAGACAGATGGATTCTTTCAGGTTTAGCTTTAAACCACATTCAAGAGATCACAGGAAGAACAGTTAGGTAAATTACTTTAGGTCAAATGTAAGGTAAAAGGAGGGAGAGAGAAAACAAAACAAATAACTCTGATATAACAGAAATCTGGGTAATTAGCTAAGATGAGGTGGAGTAAGAGAATAGGTTAGGACTGGAAGGGACAGAGCCACACGTTGATTATTCTGAGAGAGGTGATGGATGGAGTTGGGAAAGGAACAAGGAAAAAGAGAACAGTGCAAAACGCACTTATTACTTAATTTGGCACTGTTGATTTGATAATTTCAAGGGTCTCTGGGTGGGGTCAATGGTTACGCTTTCATACTCCGAGGTGCCTTGGAGGATAGGCCTGGCAACTTGCTTCCAAAAGGTCAGACCCTTGAAAACCCTATGGAGCAGTTGTACTCTAAACACACGGGGTCACATGAGTCAAACTAACACCACCAACTATAGCAGGGTGATATTCGTGACTAGTAGGGGCTATATTTAGTTTTGTTATTTTAACTTTTTGTTGTGAATTGAGTGAAGGCTTACATAGCAGGCCATCTGTTTTATATCCAACTTTGTTTCATCTCAATGATTGCAATCCCTTCCATGTAACAAGACTTTTTGTACTCCCTCCCTGTGGTTCTTATTTCCATAACACCTCTGAACCTTGTCCCCAGATAAATGTTGTTCTTTTGCTCTTGAATTGTTGACAATTCCATGGTGAACATATCTCATTAGTGTTGTTGTCCCCCTATAAAACTATCCACAGCTTGAAAACTGGGCCACTAGGATAAGTTCCATTCCAGACCTGAAGTGTGGTTGAGGGCCATAGTCTCAGGTTCTTCCAGGCTCTTTCTGACCAGTAAGTTTGGTCTTTTTAAATAATTTTGAGTTTTGTTCCACATTCTCTCTATCTCTTATTGTTGTTAAGTGCCACTGAGTCAGTTCCAACCCCTCATGACCCTGTATAGAGTTTCTGAGGAGTGACTGATGAGATTGAACTGCCCACCTTGCAGTTCAAACTGACATTGTGGTAGAATGCTTATCCCACATCACCACACGAGTGCCACATCAGGACTTTCTTTCTAGAATGTTCTAATGTGATTCCTTTCTGAGCAGTTGGTAGTGGTAGCAGGCACCATCTAGTTCTTCTGTCCTCATAGTCGTGGAGACTGAAGTTCATGTGTTCCATTGGTCCACTGGACTAGTTGATTCCAAGCATCTTCAATTTTCATCACTCTTCTTTCTTCCTCTCATGAAGAGACTAATAGTTGTACCTTAGAAGGCCACTCATGGGCTTATAAGATCCTAGTCAC